AAGGGACTGTGTTCTGGGTTCAAATTACAATGTTTGAACTTTGAAGCCTCTTTTCGTTGTTTTGTCTTGTTATAATTGATAGTGTTTTCTATTTCGTCTCTTTATTACTTAGAAGATTTATAATTATCTATATTCTTCTGTTGAGTAACATTCTTAAGACATCATAATAAAAATAAAATTAAGAATAATTCAGATCACTACACGACAAATGCATTAATTAGTTTGTAAGATCAACTAATCTTCTTTTCACGTAATTTTTATTTTAACTTGTCTGCGGCCGAAAGCTCTACAATCTATTTTAAAATTGTTGGGACCTTTTGGTTCAGATCTGATATGGTGATTAAAAAATATTTAGTTCCAATCATAAATCAATAATTAAGCAATATATAAGACAACGAATTGACTAAGCAAATTGGTAATATATTATAATCCATTAATTGATTACGAATTGTTTATTATGAGGCAAAAAGCTGAAACCCAACAGGTTCCATGTTTGAGGGCCTACATTATCTTGAAGTTAATGAAAAAAGTCGCCTAATATAATCTTTAGGATTAATTTGATTACAAACTTGTACATGAGAAATAAGATGCTAAAAAGTACATGTAACTTTTCAACCACCTCAAAGGTTGCTCGACTAGTGACCCAAACATTCAATCCATNAAAAACCCTCTAATCCAACAAGAAATACGGATTTCCGGTCTGGGTTGACCTAAGAGAGCTTCGGTTCGTGTTCGAGCTATATGCGTCATATCAATAATTTATTATACTATCATTGGTCTTAACATATAACTAGTACGTAGCCCGTGCGATGCACAGTATGTAAAATTTGAAAGAATAATATAACCTCACGTGCATTAGGATCGAAATTGAAATCATTAAAATACATAGGAACATTGTTGAATCATAAAAAATTCGGTAACAATCATATATTATTAAAAACCTTATTGTACACAACATTATGCGTTTGATTATTTGGTAACTCCTCATTATCACAAACTAATATATTCAAAAGAGACAAATCCTAAAAATCAAACTAATATTTTTGGTGAATAAACTAATATTTTAGGATTGGTGAACAAACTAATATTTTAGGATTGGTTATATGAATAAAGCTACCTGTTTTTGGTGTTCTTTTCATTCATTTTCATTCAAACAATCCGATGACTTGTATAATGAAATCCGAATCTTAAGTCGAAATATTTTAAAAAAGAGTTTTTAAAAATTGAAAAGTCAAGGCAATCAGTTCAGATTAATTAAAGGTCAAAGAATATCCGCTCCTTGAAATAAAGACGTGTGCTATCATTAACCAAATATCCGGTTATTGATATAGAGTGGTTACCAACAAATAGAACGCGATAAGGACGCTTCATGGAAATATCAATGGGATAAGGTCATAACAGATCGCTATACATTTTAACGATAAAAGCTCAGATGGAATGATTTATGATAATTATGTCGTAATTAATGAATTAATTAGATATGTGAAAAGGACATAATTAATGAGAAGTGTGAAAATGACATAATTAATGAGAAGTGTGAAAAAGACATAATTAATGAGAAGTGTGAAAAAGACAAAAACTTACTAGTTTTGAAAATTATTTAATGCAAATCCGACATTGACCATAATTTGACCTACTATTTTGGATAAATGTTAATTCTTATTATATAAGTATAGATTCATGTTGAGTATTTTATTATTAGATCAACACACATAATGAACATATATTGATACAACAATGGAAAATTTGATGATTGCATTGTTAGTATATTACACCGATGAGTAAAATTTTAAGTCCATCAGTTCTTTTTAGAGCATCTCCAGCCCTTATCTCTACTTTAGTATAGAATTTATTTTACTCTATAATATTGTTAACCAACAATCAAATTTCTTTTCCAACCGGTCGCGTTGCATTTTATTCTACATGAATATTTACATATTATTCTCATTATTTTAAATTAATTTTAATACCAAAAATATAATTTAATGAAATATATTAACTTACACATATTTAGTTATTTAAATTATCAATATATGATTGAAAAAATGCAATTAAAAACAACATTATTTATATCAAGGTTATTTCATTTTTTAGAAGATTAATCAACTATTTCCTACAACATCAAGAAAGTTACTGTGAATTCTGGATGGGTAATCTAAAGCCATAGAACTGTTACTAATATATAGATGTAAAGATTATTATTATACTAACTATATATATATATATGTCAAGATTATTTTTTTTTAGTATTAAGAAATAAATTTAAAATAAAATTATAAGTAAATTATCATAATTATAATATATATTGATAGAACTCTACACAAATCTTTTTAAATGATATTGGAAAAAATAGTAAAACATAGGGCCGTGGTGAGCATATTATCTTGGAGAATAGCGTTGGACATATTTAGCAGCGAATAACATAGCTGGAGATATTATTAACCATGAACATATTAACTTGACACATGTTACATACTCTCACAAATTCTCTATTATTTTTAGTATTAAGAAATAAATTTAAATTAAAATTATAAGTAAATTATCATAATTATAATATAGATAGAACTCTACACAAATCTTTTTAAATGAAATTGAAAAAAATATTAAAAGGTAGAGCCCATATTAACCTGGAGGATAGCATTTAGCAGCGAATAGCATAGAACCTGGAGAATAGCGTTGGACATATTTAGCAGCGAATAGTATAGCTGGACATATTATTAGACCAGGAACATATTAACTGGAGAATAGCATTGGACATATTTAGCAGCGAATAGTATAGTATAGAACCGGGAGAATAGCATAGCTGGACATATTATTAGACCATGAACATATTAACTGGAGAATATTAGACATATTTAGCAGCGAATAACATAGAACCTGAAGAATAGCGTTGGACATATTTAGCAGTGAATAGCATAGCTGGACATATTATTAGACTATGAACATATTAACTTGGACGTTACGTACTCTCACAAATTCTAACATAGAACTTGGAGAATAGCGTTGGACATATTTAGCAGTGAATAGCATAGCTGGACATATTATTAGACCATGAACATATTAACTTGGACGCATGTTACGTACTCTCACAAATTCTCTCACACAAGTTACATGCAAATACAAAACAATAATATTAATATCTCAAATTAAGCTCACAAATTCTCTCACACAAGTTACATGCAAATTCAAACAATAATATTAATATCTCAAATTAAGCTCACATTACGTATTCTCACAAATTCTCTCACAAGTTACATGCAAATTCAAAACAATAATATCTCAAATTAAGCTCACATTACGAAGGAAGGCATATTATCTATTATCCATCACACATAATTTACAATAATTTAATACTCCAAAAGTTTTTTGAAAAAATCAAAAAACCGAATACAAAATAAAAAAGGCACACACAAGAAAAAAACGACACTGGAAAATCCATAACTCTTTCTCTAACGGTTGTCCTTCGGTAACTTTCTCATTAAACTCTTCAACCTTCCTTCTCAAGCACACTTCCACTTATTTACAAAACTGCCCCAATAAAACTTCTTAAACTTCAAAGCTTCACCTCCCTACACCAAGATGCTGTTCGGCAGCCAGTCCACATTCTCCCTGCTCTTCTTCCCCCGGCCGCTCGAATCCGACTCCACCACCAGCCGGACCACCATGCTCCTCCTGTCTCCATTCGGCAGGCGCATTTTCAGCTCCTCGAAACTCGGCCGTATCACCCCTTCCACCCACTGCTCCAAGCTCGTCTCGTCGTGCCACACTCCCCCCAATATCTTATCCGCCACGTCATCCCCTATCTCGATCGCCACCTCATCTCCCCCCACCTCCTCCGAGAACCTAACCGCTATCTTCTTCTTGATCTCCCGACGCACGGCCTCCGCCTGGACCGGTCCAAACACAATCGATTCGTCCACAACGCTCGCCAGGTCATACGGCAGCGACACTATCGAGAAACCCGCCACGTCATCATACACCGCATTCTTCTTCTTCACGTCGCTCGATTCTTCCTCGTACAACATCCCCAGATTTAGCTCCAGCCTCAGCCTCGGCCTCGTCATCCGCATCGCGCCCCGCCCGTCGTGTGAGGCCCGCCGCTTATTCCCGGCCACAATAATCTTCTCCCGAACAATCAGCCCCAGCTGCCAGCTCCCGCCAGCCGTGGAATTCACCTTCCGCTCGTCGACATACTGCCCGTCACGTAATGCTTCTTCACTAATCGTCGACCAATCGCCGGTAACGATGAAAACCGCGCTCCCGAGACCGACCTCGCGGCCATGGGAGTCGGCGAGCCATCCGCGGTCGATCGCTCGTTTTACGTTCCCGCGCACGATATTGTCCGCCTCGTCGATGTCTCGGAGCACGATCACCGAGCACGGGTTCCGGCGGACGGCTTCCACGATCCGGTCGACCGCCGTGCGGCCGCGCTCCTGATTCGGGCCGAGGGAGATGATAACCGGGCCCGACCCGGAGATCTGCTCGGCCAAAACGCGAGCCATCTTGCGCTTGGCGACGCGGTCGGGCCCGGCGAACAGCAGCCACGAGTCGTTCCTTCCACAGCCGCGCTGCTTGCTGTTGCGCATGACGGCCGTAGCCACGGCTGAGGCGGCCTCCGCCTGCCACCAGGCATTCTCCATCAGGCCGTTGAGGAGATTCTTGTGCGAGCTGGCGTCCAGGTGGCGGGAGAATTGGGGCTCGGACGAGATGCAGCTGAGGAGGTCTTTGGCCGGAAGATCCTCTGGGAACTTGGTTCCGAGGACAAGGTCCGTGAGAACGGGGCTCGTGGGGCGGATCGGTGGGGCGGGTTGGGGGGTGACTGGGTCGATGCTCAGCTGCAGGTCTGAGATTACCACCGGTTTAGACCGCCGCACGTTGATAGGCTGCAAAGGGGGAAACTCGAGCAAGTTTGGAGGCAGGGCAGGTTTTTCGGGACGAGTTCTTTGATGAAAATCGGGATGAATATACAAGCACGTGTCCCTCCATTTCTTCAGCAATTCTTGAGTTTTCTGCTGGGAAAGTACACCTTGATCCTTTCCCTGTAAACGTATTAACTTAATTGTTTTAGTAAACCAAACCTGTGAAATCAAGAAAAAAAAGAAGAAAAAAAAACGCACTTGAAGTTCACCGGTTGTTTCAGCGTCGGGATTTTTGAGTTTGCCTTTGGCGTTTTGCAGCCACCAAGGCAGGGAAGATCGAGCCTCATCCTGTTTGGATTGAGATGATGACTGCTCTATGGCTGCAAATTTCACTACATCTTTTTGGTAATATACTGAGCACTGAGGGCAGACGATGGGTTTTTGAGTAGGATCTAAATTTTCAGGTATGAGCCTTGCTGAACCAGGTAAAGGACTCGGAATAGGTTGAATTTGAGCAGAATCCGAATTTCCAGGTGTACGCAATTCTAAAGTAGGTAACGGACTTGGTATAGGCTCCAATGGGTTGCTCATGATCCTCTCAGGTCCAAGCCTGCAAATACAATGATCAGCAATCAATAAAATAATACAAATAAACTTTACCAATCGAAATAATTTGCTCCAGCAGAAAATTTCACTTGTTATAAGATCGACTACAAAAGTAGAGATCATCGATAACTTCCTTTGCTTTCACAGATCATGTTAGGAAATATATGAAACAAGACAACTTTTCATTTTCAGATGCAACTACACAAACTAGATAATGGATTCTTATCACACACACACACTCTTCAAAAGTAAACAATACCAAATATTTCGATTTCATAAAAAAAACACATTAGAATACCTCGGGAACATTCGTGGAATAGGAGAAGTCGACGTAATAGTCACGGCCTGCAAACCCCAGTCACTCTCCATGGTAGGATGGTAAACCATGCACTTTGTATATGTGTCGTAAGTTGCGGTCCCAATCAACGAGAGCTTATTACCCTCATATTGAACTCCATCTACACCACCAAAACTTACCAGCAGCTTCGAAATCTCCACCACAATGGCCCGTCGGGCCTCGGGCACAACCGGCCCATTTAGTAGCTGCTGGGCCCCACTGGAACTTGCAGCCTCCGCCGGCTGCTCCACCAGCCACCTCAAGTTCCCAAGATCAAGAATCACACCACCTTTCACAATTCTGCTCTCGATCATCCGTCCAAATTCGTCCATCTTTGAGGCCATTAGATTAATATCATACAGAGGAAGACATTTGTCTATTGAAACTATCTGAGAATTCTTCATATTCAGAAGATCATTTCCGAATTCGTTGTTTTTTATTTTCCTGAAGAATCCCTTGGCCACGGCCTCAGGCTCAGAAATCCCCACCAGAATCGGGTTTCTCTTTTTGCTGCTGGACATTATATCAAACACCTTTTTCACTTCATCGCCGACAGTTTTCCCAATTTGTGCTGTGGGTGTCTGAGGCTGATGTGGCAGGAGCGGATTCACGCAGAAGCTCCGATTGGACTGAGTCACCGGGATTTGACGGGAATTCAGGATCGTTCTTTGATCGATATCCACCACAAAATTTGTATTCCCGATATGTAGCTGTTCTACGCGGCTGTTGGAATTTTTCAACGACTGCTCGACGGAGGCCTTCACGGCGATGCTGGAGAACTTGGCCTCCCTCATCACGCGGCTCACGGTGGGATCGTCGAGTATCGAGATTATCAGCTGCTTGAGCTCGACCTTCAGGGCGAGGAGAGGATGCTGCTCCGGGCACGCGCGGCGCTGGCGCGCCTGCGCCCTCTTCAGGGCCGCCAAAAGCGCGTTGGAGATCGGCGGCTCCGGCGGCGGCGCGTCCGCCACGCCCTGACCCGTCGCCGCTGGCAGACGGTCGAGCGCCACGCCGAAGCAGAGCTCCAGCGCGCGGCCCAGGAGCGGGTGGCTCGAGTTGCGGTGCGACCAGATGCATGCCTGCCTCAGAACCCCCGACGGCGACTTCAGAAGCATCGCCGCCACGTGGAGCGGCGTAGTCTGGCCGTGCTTGCGGCGGCCAGCCTCCGCCACGGACTGGTTGAGCACCGCCGCCGCCTCCGGCGTCAGCGTCTGCTGGATAGCGTTTGAGCCTGCCTTCATATCCTTCTTTAATTTCCTCCGACGGAATCCGATTGATTGGCTTAAAATTTTGAAATCTGAATGAGCAAGCACAAAATGGAATTTTGCAGAGATTTTGATTTTATTTAGTTGATTGATGATTCTGGTTTTCGAACATGTGGAATTTTAAAAAAGTGGCTCTGTGTAAGAGAAACTCAACGCGATAAAAGGAAAGATGGAACCACCGCTTCACAAAAACCTCGCCTCCATTACTTTCTCTCTCTAAAAACAAAAAATCAGTCTCCGCCTCTCTTTCTCTCTCTATCTTAAAAAGGAAGGTGATGATATTTATGAGCAGAGGAAAGCAGTCACAGAGTCTCCATACACCCCAAAGTTAACAGAGGGGTGGCATAATTTTATTTATTTATTTTTTGTTAACATAGGGGTGGCATAATTTTATTTGTTTTCTTCTTATTTATTATTATTATTTTTTTTTTTTTTTTCTTCTTATCGGTGAGATAATGTTTATATTATAACTATACATAAAAATAACAAAAATAAAGAAACTTATATGTAAATTTTATAATACAATATTAGCAATAATAATAGTAATAATAATAATGTATTTAATCATATATATTTACTGCATAAATAGTATTCCCCCTTTTTTTAATAGATGTCGTTTTGAGAAGTTGTACACTATTAAGAATATTTTTTTGCCAATAATAACCTCAGTAATGAGCTGAGGATAGAGATAAATGTTTTGAGAAAAAATAAAGAAGGAATATGAAAAGTCGTAGTGTATTTATTAAGTAGACTAGTATTCGGCCTGTGCATTTGCACAGATATATAAATAAAATATTGTGAGTTATTTGTATGCATATAATGATTAATGATTTTTGCTAAATTTACAATTAAATAAGCTGAAATCTTTATTTTTTAAAAATACGTTTTTCATATTGGATGTAATGTATATTTTGGTATGTATCTTTTGTTGTGAATTATTTGTTATTTATTTAGGAATTTCAAATACGTTTTTTATTTCCAAAAGAAGTTAATTTAAATGTAACCACAACAATAACATCTACTCAAGTTAAATAGTCAACACATTATATGGTCAACCGTAAGTAAATAAAAAATTTAAAATAATTTTTGTAATTTTGAAGTGATTAGTGTTTTGATATCTAATAATTAAATGAGAGGTTAAATAAATAAGAAATAACAATTTTTCGATGAAAAAAACTATATTGCCACATAGGTATAATTTAATAAGTTTTATTAAATACTAATGAGCCAGCAATTATACATATATATATATATATATTTAGGGTAATGAGATTTGCAAAAAATATTGGATATTTAATATTTAGTTTTTATTACAGTTATGAAATGAGAAAGAATATGGCATAGTTGATTTGACCGACTATAAATAATATTTATTTTTTATGAGTGATGAGATTTGCAAAAAATATGAGATATTTAATATTTAATTATTATTAAAGTTATGATATAAGAAAAAAATATGGGATGTTGATGCTTGGAATTTATATAAAGAATTTTTTAAAATTTTGGATTCCCGCATCTTTTTTTCAGATTTTCGCCTCCTATTCAGATAATTTCGAAACAGTAATTATCTCAACTTTTGGAATTGTAATTTGATAATTATAATTAATTGTTTTAGTTGATCTTTAATTTTGTTATTTTTGCAGGAATTGACCGGAGATGGAGCATCTGATTTTTTATTTTATTTTAAATTTATTTTTTTGGTTAGTTGTATTTGTTAATAATTAATTTTTTATTTATTTTCATTAATTTCGTTTAGTTTACTATGCATAGAAAAAATAATTTCGATTAAAAAAATAATTAATGAGAACTGTTGAGAGTAATTAATATGTTTAAAAAAATATGGAAACATTTTCATTTTCATTAACTCGTTATAATTGCAGAATTAATTGGTTGTCATTTTTAAAACACTCAACTTTTCAAGAAAATTGAGTTGTTTTTAATAAAGAAAATAAAAAATAAAAACAAATGAAAAGTAACGGAAATTGGCGGGAAAATGCCACCTAGGTATAATTTATGAGGTTTAATTAAATGCAGAAGAGCTAGTAATTATATATATATAGATGAGGGTAATAACGGAAAAATATGTACAAAAATTTTAAAACATCATTTATTTAGTTAATTATTGATAAAACTGAAATGACATTTATAAAGGTAGTACTCCCTCCATTTTGAAATATAAGGCATTTAAGGTTATTGCACAAGTATTAAGGAGACATTAATTAATGAATAAATTGACTAAATTAACCTTATTTACTCTAATCACAACCACTCCACACATCCTTAATTTCAACACAATAAGGGTATATTTGGAAAAAAATGCAAAAAATTGTCTTGATTTTTGAGCGCGCCTTATATTTCAAAAAAAATGAGAAATCTTTATACGCCTTATATTTCAAAATGGAGGGAGTAGTAATCTTGTCAATGCTCAAATCCACCTAATTCGACACCGTTCTGAACTGATCCGAATGACTAGAAACAATCTATAATGACATAATAATTACGACTTGATTGTTTGAAATGTCAACAAACTGTTAAAATTTAAATTAATGTGGTAGTTTGTATTTAATGATGGAAAAATTGGACAAGAAATTCTAAAACTTGTTCATGGATCCAACATTTGAGCGTGATGAGATATCAAAGCAAATATTATAATTGGGTATCTTCTTATTATTTTATAGGATGACAAAGCTAGTGTATTAGTGTTTGACTTATGCTATAATAGAGTTTGATTAATAACAAAAATAATGAAAAGTTGAGGAAAAGAAGATAAAAGGGACCTTTTTGTAGGCTAATTAATGCGGAGATCGATGAGTTTAACACATTAATTTATTAAACTGAGACCATTCTCGCTATACTTTTTGAGTTTCTGTTTTTCTTTTAGTTCTATATTTTCTAAACAAGCATGAATGCAATTAGACGTGGCCAAAACCCAATTATAAACTTAATTTTTAAATTATAATTTTTGCGTCGACTGCTAGTTTCTGTTCCGATTCGGAACTGGAACCGGCCATTATTTTTTTTAAAAAGAATATGAATATCAATCGGCTAATCAATAAACTGATTTAAGGCCCGTGCCAACGGTTTAGACCGAATCGAAATCGGCCATTATTTTTTTAAAAAAAAATATGAATATCAATTGGCTAATCAATAAACCGATTTAAGGCCCGTGCCAACGGTTTAGACCGAATCGAAATCGGACCGAATTGTTTGACTCATCTTTTAGCACTTTTGTTAGTTTTACATTTAATATTTTGTGATCTTATCAATTTATCATTATCAAAGTTTCACCCCACACTTGCTGCGTTGCGCTCTGTTAATACGCTTAGATGAGCGGTGTCTTTTGGCTTCTTGCCTTTTTATTTTATTATTGAACAAATGATTTCTGCATAGCTTGTGAAACCACCGGTTGATTTAATTGACAATTCCTCTACACGAAGAAATTTGATTATGAAAAACCATAAATGATATACAATTTTTCGTATTATGTGACTTGATTAAGTAAATTCATGAGCAGCTCTCGTCTCATTTACGTAGCTTGTGATATACTCACGAAACCATCTAATTGTTATTGATTTAATTGACAAATCTTTAAACATAAAGAAACTTGACTATGAAAAACCATACATGATATACAGAGTTTTGTATTATATATGCGGCTATGTTAAGCAAATTGAGCAGCTTTCGACTTGTTTACGTAGTTTGTGATGTACCCAGTGGTATTATGAAAACATCGTATTGTTATTGATTTAATTGACAAGTTTTCAATATGAAGAAACTTGACTATGAAAAACCATACATGAAAAATATTTTTTTGTATTATGCGACTCGGACTCGTTTACACTTTGAATGCTGACTTATTTGTTAGACGAATTGATTATTTATGTTAATTTAATTAGAATGTAAACTTATATTAATAAATATTATATTTTTATTTATGTTTTTTAGATTATGGCTTTTAAGTTTGAAAATATTTATATTTATTAAAAAGTATAATTGTCGAACCGTTGAACATATATATCGCACAATAGCTTTTTTATTATTATTTTATTATGTTAATTATAACTTTATCATCTTCAAATTTTTGAAACATACTCTATCAATGCTTCCAAGAATCAACTTGTAAAATTTCAATAACTATTTATGGTGCATTAATTATGCTCTAATTGTTTCATGCATTAAAGTAAATGCATTAAAAAAATTGCGCGTGGTTCTTTGTTTCTTTACATTTTTCCATTATCTAAATACAATTCTTGTAACTCTTTTTTCTATTAGATAAATGTGACTCTCAAACATATAAAATTGAAATATCATAAGTTACTCAGAATTCATTTCTTACAAAATTTTCCTCCAACCAGAATTACAAATGATAAACAAATCAAGTAGCTATTGAAAAACAAATCATTAAAACAAAGAAGTGCACATCGTGCCTAACAAATTGATAATAATAAAACAGTTATTTAAATGAAAAGATTGATATGTAAAGATATAAATACATTCTAAATTTAGTGCTTAGAATTAATGATATCATATTATATTTCTCCAAATTTTTTACATGAAGTCTAGTTTATTTTTATTTAATTATCTAATATTTTTTTAATATTATTATTGGCCGCTGTTATATTTTTGTTTAGTGACAGACGCGCAAGCCTATCGAGTGGACGTAACAAATAATCATTTTTTCGCTTTTAAACTATTTGGGCAAGCATGTGATACTATTAGTGTTTTTGCGCAGGACGACTTCATTTTTATTTAATGGTCTAATATTTTTTTAATATTATTATTGGGCGCTGTTATATATTTTTGTTTACTGACAAAACGCGCAAGCCTATTGTGTGGGCGGGCGTAACAAATAATCATTATTTTTTCGCTTTTAAACTATTTGCGCATGCATGTGACACTATTTGCGTGTTTTTGCGCAAGATAACTGACGACAAACCTATGACGTGAGCATTACGACTGACGACAACTTATGGCGT